ATAAAAAAGAAAAGCCATGGTCTGGTTCTCAAAGAGATCTAGACATTTATAGTAAAATATGATAATTGTTACCAGCAAACTGCAGTGAGATTAATTCTTAAATTTTCTTAGACGTATTAAAGACTTCAAAAAAGATTGATCTTTGCAGCAGAGGCCTACACGATAGAAGTGTTTTAGAGGTACGAAGTGAAGTGTGGCTGGCTCAGGAAGAGGGGACAGTCTGTGCAAAAGCGGAGGACACAGCGACATGACAGAGGGTGTGCCCATGCACTAATCCTGCCGAGTGCAGAGTGGGTTGAAGGAACAAAGAGATTGTGCAAATAGACAGGGGCTGGATAAGCATCTGTGTAATTATGCAAAATATCGTAGGTAGTATGCTATGATACAGCATGTTGATTAGGCAGGATATGTTTGGACTTATGTGCTAGGTCTCCTCTGGCAAAATGGAGAACAGAGGGGAAAAGGGACATGACTGGTCAGGGACACTGGAACGGATGCTATTGCAATTGCAACAGGCTGTGACAGATAAGTGAGGAGAAAATACAAACCGTAATGGGGAGGTAAAGTGGACAGATATTGGTGTCTGATAGAATGAGGGGGTAAAATGGAGACAAGGCAAGGACCTCATCTGTCTTGTTTATAACTGTCTCTCCACCACCTTGAAGGATGTCTCATCTAGGCTCTCAGTGGATATTTGTCACAATGCGTAGAAGGGAGATAAGCAGGTGACTCCTGGGTTTCCGGCTGAAGCAGATTTGATGCCAATTGCTAACAGAATGTGTACAGGAGGGAACGATAACGTATTTGTCTGTGAACTGCTGAGCTTACAGGTGATTTCTAGCAGCGTAAAGCATAAGATGTACATTATAAGGGCATGGAGGGTAGGAAACGAGGAAGAGATAATGAGGGGAATACCAACTATGACTGCTGAAACATAGGAGGAGGATGAGGTGAGGTTAAAATCACAAATCAAGAGAGACACTGTCTGGACCGGCCGAGTGGCATATTGGTTAAGAACTGGCTTGGGATGCCAGAGGGCCCCGGTTCGGATCCCACATATGAAGGCCAGTGACACTGCCCTCTACAGCTAAGATGCTGAACAACAGCTCAACCTGGAGCTGGGCTGCTGTGAGTCGCTGGCGTCGGCGTGAGCGGCCAGC